CGAATGCAAGTCATTTTTTCCTTCATAATGCTGCATGTAAGAGGGGTAAAATAAGATGTTCAACTGGGAAATCTAAATCGTTATGTCTTTCCAAGTTTAATGAGCAAGATCCAGTTGTTTTCTAAAAACCAAAAGAACTGCTGATGCTGGAAATCAGAAACAAAAACAAAGTTGCTGGAAAAGCTCAGCAGTCTGGCAGCGTCTGTGAAGAGAAATCAGAGTTAACATTTCGGGTCTAGTCAGCCTTCCTCAGAACAGCTTTCCAGTTGCTTTCTGTTTACTTGTTGTTTTCTGTTTACCTGACCTGTTGTGTTCTTCTGCCTCTCACTTGATAATAAGTGTTGAAAAGCCCAACTATTCAAAATGATACAGTTCCAGTTTTGTAAAAGTGAGCCAAATTTAGTGGACCTTTGTAGGTTTTATCAGTGTTTTAAATGTTATACATACTTTCAGAATCTGCTTAGATTACACAAAATTCTTTTGCTTCACACAATACATGTGAAGTCTCCTTGGAAGGCATAACATTGTAACCTGCAATATCTCTCAAAATGTAGATGGTGACCATAAGAACTAAGAACTATTTGGCTAAAAGCAGTGAATGCGGTTTCTAGATGTGGTCAACAGTGCAGACAGAAAGGCCTGGAGCCCCATGTACCTGAGCAGCAATTCCTCTAAGTTGTGACTTTGCTATTTTCTCAAACTGAGGATGAATATCCTGCATGATATACTTGTCGTCTCAGGTATAACAGAGCCCCCAGACATTAATCAGTTCTCATTCTAAAATAAACATATTTTTATATGATACTACGATGGTATTTATGCATATACTCAAAACTTTAATTCAGTTTCAGAAACACAGTTGGATGGATTTAAGGAACCTCATTGCAGCTCTGACAGAAGATCTAGAGGATATAATGCAGGCAATACAGCATCACTCCTGGAAAGAGGGTGCAATTGAAATAATATGCATTTACATGAGCAGCATTTGTCATAACTGTGATTTTAGAGTCATTGAGATGTACAGCATGGAAACAGACTCTTTGGTCCAACTTGTCCATGCCAACCAGATATCCTAAATTAATCTGGTCCCATCTACCTGCATTTGACCCATATCTATCTCAACTTTTCCTATTCATATACCAATCCAGATGCCTTTTAAAAGTTGTAAAGCCTCCACCACTTCCTCCAGCAGCTCATTCCATACACGCACCATCCTCTGGATGAAATCGTTGCCCCTTAGGTCCCTTGTAAATCTTTCCCCTCTCACCTTAAACCTATGCCCTCCAGTTTTGGACTATTCACCTTATCCATATCCCTCATGATTTTATAAACCTCTATTTAGTCATCCCTCAGTCTCTGACACTCCAGGGAAAATAGCCCCAGCCTATTTAGCCACTCCTATACAACCTATATAGCTCAAACTCTCCAATCCTGGCAAGATACTCGTAAATCTTTTCTGAATGCTTTCAAGTTTAACAACATCTTTCCAATAGCAAGGAGATCAGGATTGAATGCAGGATTCCAAAAGTGGCCCAACCAATATCCTGTACAGCCACAACATTACCTCACGACTCTTATACTCAATGCAATGACCAATGAAGGCAAGCATTATTCACCATCCTGTCAACCTGGGATTCCACTTTCAAGGAACTATGAACCTGCATTCCAAAATCTCTTTGTTCGGCAACACTGTCCAAGACCTTACCGTTAAGTGTGTAAGTCCTGCCTTGATTGGCTCTACTGAAATGTAGCATCTCATATTTATCTAGATTAAACTCCATGTGCCACTCCTTGGCCCATCAGCCCATCTGATCAAGGTCCCATTGTACTCTGAGGTAACCTTCTTCACTGTCCACTATACCACCAATTTTGGTGTTATCTGCAAATTTACTCTCCATACTTCCTATATTCACATCCAAAGCATTTATATAAATGATGAAAAATGGTTGTTAATGTGCAATTTGAGAAAGTTCATAACAGGAAGTTTTCTTTGGACACTCCTAATACCAAACTTTTGGCCCAATCTTTGTACCACCCAACCAGCTTTCTTTTGCCTTTTTTTAAAATTATATCTCAGTGATGCATTTCAGGATGCTCTCCATGTTAAAACTGCCATATAAATCAAAGTTGTTTCTGAAGTTTTCTTTCTTATTGGTCAGTGTAGTAACTTAATTCATTATAGAATGTGTTCCAGTTTCAGCTTAATAATTATATCATGTGATGCAATATTATTATTGTGCAGCCAGTTAAAACCAAACTACATGGTTTAATGGACAATTTGAATTGTCCAAGGTAAACAATTAAACCAAGGCTTTTCTATTCGTCCTTAGGTCAGCATGCAAGATGCACTTGTGCCAGGCCCCTATTAATAAATATCATTTGTAACATTGAATGATGGTTTGCCATCAATGAACTGTTTGTGAGGGAATATCATAAGGAGATACACAGTAGGCCGTTCAGCCCCTCGGGCCTGCTCCACCATTCAATTGCATCATGGCTGACGTGACAATTCTCCCGTCCACCTTTTTGCCCTTACCCTGTAACACTTGATTACCCTACTTTTCAAGAATTGATCAATCTGAGCCTTAAGTATACACAAGGACTTTGTCCCCATAGCTGTCTATGACGTGGATTTCCAAAGACACACAACCCTCTAAAAGAAGAAATTTTTTCTCATCTCAATCTTAAATTGGGGGTGCCCCTTTGTTCTGCAATTATGCCCTCTGCTCCTAGACTCTCCCTTGAGAGAAAACATTTACCCTGTCAAGCCCTTAAGAATCCTACATATTTCAATGAGATTACCTCTTGTTCTTTTTAATTCCACTTTGTAGAGGCCCAGCCTGTTTAATCTTTGCTCACAAGACATTCTCTCCATGCTAGGGATCATCCAAGCGAACTTTCTCTGAACTATTTGCAGTGAAATAATATCTTTCCTTAAATAAGGGGACCAAAAATGCTTACAGTATTCCAGATGTGGTCTCATCAGCACCTTGTACAGTTGCAGTAAGACTTCCCAACTCTTATACACCCCATTGAAATAAGGGCCAACATTCCATTAGCCTTCCTGACTTTAAAGAAAGACCTCAGGGAAATTTTTTAGGTACACCAATTTCTGAATAATGGAACATTTAATGATTTTAGGAATCTATCTAGCACTTCCAGGTCAGGTATGAGATAGATATTAAAGCCTCAACCAACTTATCTTAGGCCTAACACCTTCCTGGACCTGTGTAATTGTTTTTCTTATTTCGTGGAACATGCTTGGCTAGTATTTATTGCCCATTCCTAATTTCCCTAGGCAAGGTGGTGGTGATCCATCCTCTTGAACATCAGCAGGCCATGAGGTGTAGGTATACCCACAATGCTATTAGGGAAGGGAATTCTCGGATTCAAACCTAGCAACAGTGAAGGAACAGTAATATATTTCCAAGTCCAGGTGGTGAGGTTTGGAGGAATTTCCAGCAGCTGGTGTTCCATGCATCTATTGACTTTGTCCTTCTAGATGGTAGAGGTCATGGATTTGAAAGATGCTGCTACCAAGGAGCCTAGGTGGGTTGCTGCAGTGCATTAGTGGTGGAAGGAGGAAATGTTGAAGGTGCTGAATGGGTTGCCAATCAAAAAGATTGCTGTGCATTGGATAGTATCAAGTTTCTTGAGTGTTGTTGGAGGTGCACCCATCCAGGCAAGTGGAGAGTATTCCCTCACATTGCTGAATTTCACCTTGCACATTATGGCCAGGTACTGGGGAGGCAGGAGGTGGGTTACTCACCACAGAATTCTAAACTTCTGACCTGCTGTTCTAGCCACAATATATACATTTCTGAGCTAGTTCAGTTTCTGGTCACCAGTAACCCCAAGATATTAATAGTCCTAATAGCATGGAATGTCAAGGGGAAATGGTTAAATTTGCTCCTGTTTGAGGTGGTCATTTTCTGGTACTCCTATAGCATTAATGCTCCTTAATAACATGATAGTTTTCTATTGCCTATTAGCTGATGTGAATTGCCAATTCTTAAGCATGGGTCTGTACAACCTCCCCTCACATGGAACCCTTAAGAAAAGTAGACTTTCAATCTGTCTGGTGTGAATGTTAACCAGTTGCTTGAAATGGAAGGCTAGTGACCAACATTTTGTGGTGCCTACTGATAACTGTTTACATCAATTTAAAGCCACCAGGTTTTGTTTAAATTCGTATGTAATGAAGCAGAACGGCCAAGGTGTTGAAATGATCTTTGTTTATTCTGGTTAAATTGACATGCCAAATCTTTAAATATGCAAGTTATTTTAAACCATTAGGGCTTTTTTTTCTGACCTCAGTGACAATCTTAATCTGGTAATCACTGGTTAAGAGGGTGAATATTGTGGAATGAGCAACGTTATAGTCATCATTAGGTAGTGTCAGGAATAACAATGCTACATTACAGCCAAATGTATAGACTTCAACTTAACGATCTGAAATTGATTTTTAAAAAATTACAACACATAGTTGATGTATTTATAGAAAAAATTGAACTGTCTAAAATTTCTGTAATGAATGCAAAAAACAATTCTAAATCTATAAGTTTGAAATGTGTTTTTCTGAGCCCATTTATTTGTTACTAAGTTAAGATTATAAAAAAAAGTTTTAATTATTTTAATTAGAAACAAAGGAAATCTCCATTTAAACCTAATTGTTTGATAGAACACCATACTTGGATTGCTTTATAACTGCAATAGATTAAATTCCATACACTGTATTTGCCAATTTGTTCAATTTGTACCTGCTCTCATTAAACTTTATAAACACATAACAATAAATTCCCTAGCAGTTTACAACTTGTAGGAGGGTGATATTTTATAGTCATTCATTTACACAAGTTTATTACTTGTTGCATTTTTTGTAATAGAATTTATGGGGTTGCTGAAGTTTTAGCCTTGAATTACTTTCATTTAAACGTTCAATGTATGAACTGGGTGTGACGCTTTGATTAGATGCCACGTTGTCACAACTTCCTCCTCCTTTTGTTACCAACAGAAAGCAAAGTTTGATTGTTAGGTTCAGGCACAGCAAGTAGCACAGATTAAAAAAAGACAAGATAATCATTTGCAGAATAAGCTGGTGCTTTAATGACTGAATGACAGGTAAGTTCAGTTAGTTTATATTTTGACTTACGTTAGCCATTAACAAAAAGGAAAAACTGGTTTCATTTTACCGTAGCTTAGTACGGTTGAATTTGTACAACTTCCTGGTTTTTCAAACTACTTTTGGATCTAAAAGAATTAATAGCATTACTTCAGTTGAGGCCATAATTTGTGTCTTTTTGTATCCATGGTGACGATCTGTCCATTTTAACAAATAGAAGGATTATTTTACACGCTTGGTTATATTTTAGAATTTAGCTACAGGTTGTTACTCGATAAATAGCCTGTACGGATTACAATCAGTAACTCTTCATTCTGGATAGCATACTTAAGTATATGGAATATCATGTTTAGCAAGAAGCTAAAGAGAAAGCAAGATAATGAAATAAAACTGACCAGAAAACTCCATTATATAAAGTTTATGTAAATAAAATTCAGACTATGTGTGGAAGATGGAGGAAGGAGATCAGCAACAGCAACAATGGCAAAGCTAGCACCTTAACATGAAAGAGGAGATGTAGTTGGACATCTGTGAAGACAGGGGGTCTTCAGGTCAAAGGGAATCTTTCTAGAAAATTGTGAAGAAGGATGCTGTGCTTCTCAAGGCAGGTTGTTCCTGACCTTTGTCACCTGCCATGTAAGGATTTACTCCCAGTCACACTTGGGATCCCTATCATGTCAGCGTGTGTTAAGGTGCCAACTGACCTGAACCTTCTTGCCTCAGCATCATTTCAGATGCTCCTGAGGACATGTCACATCTATTGCTCAATATGTGCATCAATGAGATGACAGGTGCCAAGGTGAACAAAAGCATTTCATTTCCCATTGATGACAGCAGTCAAACTTAGCTAGTACTGGAGTCTACATCAATGTCAGACCACTTCTAATCACACCAAAGCTCAAAGAGGACAAGCAAGAAACTATGTCAGCCACAAGGAGTGCCATGTAATCGATGTGAGGCTTGTGTCTGATACAACAAATGGACTATTTCACATTATGCTTACTCAACAATAATGGTGATAGACTCTAAATGCATCATACAGGGGTCCTAGAAATGCTGGTTGGTGACTTCTGGTGACATCTTTAATGTCACAACTGCAGACTGAAAGTCCTTGACTGCTGCTATACATTCCAGATTGCAGAAATGAAGTGCCATCTGAAAAGTTTGCAGGTAATGGAAGTGGGCTTCTGTATTCATTCAGAAAGTTGCTCCAAGTCATTCCCCAGGTCATTCAATCATTGGTATATTGCAGTCATTTTCTTATTTTCATGACAAGATCCTTGAGTCAGCACCTCTGGCTCCCTTAGCAAAGCTAGCAGGAAACAATGAGTCTTCTCCAAGAAGTTCAGCAAGTCTGGTGGCATTTATGGAGGAGAAACACAGTTACTGTTTTGAGTCCAGTGGTTCTTGTTTAGAATGTCTGAAACTGTCCTTTATGAAGCTACTTACTTATGCACCAAGTGCCAATCTTTTCAACTCACCAGTAATCCCATCCATGGTATAAAGCTACATGCTGGTATTTGGAAGAGACAAACTATTTAATGGTGCTTCCTCAATCAGGAGTGATAAAATTTCTATGAGGTATCTTCAAGAGCCTCCTCAGAAGGCCATTGCTGCTGAGAAAAAAACTGAGAGGAAAGGGACAAGAGTTAGGATAGCAGTGAGACTGGCAGTTCATGGTCACACCATCCATTAGAGGCTCTCCTATTTTATCAGAGAGGTGAGAGACGCTTACCTACTTCCATAGATATCTAATTATAACCATAGCATCACCATCAATGGTTTTACTTCCCATTCTCACACAGTTACCTCTGGTGTCTCCCAAGGATCCATCCATGGCCCCTTATTATTTCCCATTTATACACATTGGTTTCCACAGGTACACTGTCAACACTCAGTTTTACGTCGCTACTACCTCTCTCAAACCCTCCGCTGTATCTTATTAAATATTGGTAAGACTGAAGGCAATGATTTTTTTCTCCCCATCACAAAATCTGCTCTCTCTGACCTCTCTCTCCCCCCCTCCCCTCCACTGAATTCACCCCTTTCCCTAACAACTGTTGAAATTAAGCCATAATGTTCAGAACCTCGGAACCTTTGGTTCAGAACCTTTGATCCTGCAGTTTGTTTGAGATTCATGAAAGGAATTTGAGTAAGAAACAGTCTCCCTGCCCTGTCAAGCTGCTAGCCCTCTCCTTCTCCAATGTTCCTCTCTCGGTTATACTATAATTTCATTGCCTCCTACCCTACCTGTACACAAGTTGAGTTGTGATACTTAGTGATTTCAATTACCTGAGGGTAGACTGGGATAAAAGTAGAGTGTGAGACATGGAGGAGGAAAAGTTCCTGCATGTGTGCAGGAGAACTTTCTGGAACCATACATTTCCAGTCTGACCAAGGAGGGAGCTGTGCTGGATCTGGGCCTAGAAAGCGAGGCAGGCCAAATGGAGAAAATCAGAGTGGGGGAGCATTTGGGAAATAACAGTCACAATTTAAGGTACAATATTAAGTTGGAAAAGGATAAAAATCAGTCAAGGTTTCAGATCCCAGACTGGAAAGGTGGCCAAAAAGTTGAACTTTAGTAGCTTGATTGGAAAGGGACTTTGTTGGACAAAACAGTAGGTGAGAAATGGGAGACTTTCAAAAGAGAGATGCATAGGATGCATGCTCAGTACATACCAGTGAGAAATGAATACAGGGTATCCAAAGCTAGAGTACGCTGGAGGACTAAGGATATTGATGAGAAAATAAGGAAGGAAAAGGAGGCATATGATGCATAACTGAATAATAATAGCAATAGAGATCAGGAAGAGTATCTCAAATGCAACAGTGAGGCTAAGAGGAAGCATGAAGAAAGGATGGCAGGTTGTGCTAACCCAAACAGTAAACTGTTCGTCAAACATTATTAATAGTAAAAGATCAGTGAAGGATACAGTGGGGCCCTTAGGGAACAAATTGGGTAAGCGGCTTTCTGAAGCAAAGGATATGGCAGAGGTACAGATTAGAAAATGGTGACAATGGCCCAATTGAAAATGTGGGTGTTGAGCTACTGAGCAGTATAGTGATAGATAAAGAAGAGGTGCAGCACTCCAGGCAGACAAATCACCAGGCCCTGAAGGGAGGCATCCTACATTGATGTTAGAGGTAAAGGAGCAAATTGCGGAGCCACTAGCAGAATGTTTCCAGGCCTGTCTGAACACAAGATTAGTCCTGGGGGAGTGGAGGATTGCAAATGTGATGCCATTGTTTAAGAAACGGGCAAAGGATAACCCAGGAAACTACAGACCTGTCAGCCTGACTTCAGTTGTAGGAAAATTGATAGAGGCCGTAATATTGGATATTGTAAGTATACACTTAGAGAAAAATAAGTTAATACTAGACAGTCCACAGAAATATGGAGGTAATACATTTTGGTAGAAGAAACATGGAAAGACAATACAGGCTCAATAGTACAATTTTGAGGGGAGTACAGGAGCAGGAGGACCTTGGGTTTCACAAGCATAATTCTGTGAAAGTGGCCAGGTAGGTTGAAACAGTTATTAAGAAAGCTCATAGATTCCTTTGGTTTATAAATAGAGGCATAGAGTATAAAAGCACGGAATTAACGCTGCACCTTTGCAAATCATTGGCCAGACCATATTTGGAGTATTGTGTTAAGTTCTGGGCATCTTATTTGAGGAAGGATGTTAAAACCCTGGAGAAAGTTCGAAGGAGATTTACTAGAATGGTTCCAGGAATGAGGGATTTTTGATACAAGAGAAGATTAGAGAAATTGTGTCTATTCTCCTTGGAGCAGAGAAGATTAAGAGGGGACCTCATTGAGGTGGTCCAAATTATGAACACTTTTGACAAACTAAAGAAGGACATTCTGTTTCCACTAGTTGCTATGTCAATAGCTAGAAGTCACAATTTCAAGATTGTCACCAAGTCAGCTAGGAATGAGATGAGGAGAAGCATGTTCACTCAGAGTACATGCTCATGTGGACATTATGTGGCGCAGTACACAGAGCCCGAGGGCTGTCAAGATTTGTTGTCCTCTTGAAGGAACATAAACTCTGGAAAGCAGGAGCTTAACAACGATGCCACCCGAAGGTTGCAGGAACAGCAACTCATATTTCGCTTGGGAACCCTGTAGCCCAATGGTATCAATGTGGATTTCACAAGTTTCAAAATCTCCCCTCCCCCTACCGCATCCCAAAACCAGCCCAGCTCGTCCCTGCCTCCCTAACCTGTTCTTCCTCCCACCTATCCCCTCGTCCCACCTCAAGCCGCACCTCCATCTCCTACCGACCAACCTCATCCCGCCCCCTTGACCTGTCCGTCCTCCCTGGACTGACCTATCCCCTTCCTAACTCCCTACCTACACTCACCTTTACTGGCTCCATCCCCGCCTCTTCGACCTGTTTGTTTCCTCTCCACCTATCCTCTCCTCTATCCCTCTTCTATCCGCCTCCCACTCTCTCCCTATTTATTTCGGAACCCCCTTCCCCTCCCCCTTTTCTGATGAAGGGTCTAGGCCCGAAACGTCAGCCTCTCTGCTCCTATGATGCTGCTTGGCCTGCTGTGTTCATCCAGCCCTGCACCTTGTTGTCTCGGATTCTCCAGCATCTGCAGTTCCTACTACCTCTGATTCAAGCTTAACTATATACTTGTGTTTCAGGAGGCAATCTAAAAAATGTGACCCCTGTACATCTCAATGATGGATGAATGCTCCTTGCAAACTGAAGCTTGTGTCATCTAATTGCAGCCTGTATGTAATCCTATATAATTCCATTTGAATGCTCAGGCAAACAAACTAAGAAGGATGTCATTTGTGCGAAGGGAACAAATTAATGTGCAGTTCATGACAAATTAACATAATGTTTTTTAGTTATGAAACCAGCATTCCCTAGAGGGCAAGAATATCACTGCATCAAAACTGACTCAGTTCTGATTATCTATTTATGTAAATACAAAACCATTCTGCCTCAAATTAAGTCACTATCAGATTCTCTTTCAG